CTATAAGGTCTTTTTTTCTGAAACAGCAAAACACCCGTTCTTCAAGTATAAAATTTGAAGAAAACATAATTTTCTACTAAATGAGTACAAGAAAGGATCTGTTATGCCTGTTTTGTATAAAATATATTTAAATTTATTAGGACATCGAAAATCAATAGAAAATGCAAGCTATTTAAGTAGCCATTTGTTACAGAGTGCAGTTATAGAAAGCGGTCGGAAAGAGTCTTCTTCAAAAGCCGGCCTCTTGATGGGACATAAGTATGTTGGGACTATGCTGTTAAATAATTAATATTGCAAAGCTACTAAGGTAATCCTTTCTAATAAAAAACACATTTCATGCAAGAGCATATCTAATGTAAGTCCGAAGATAAGGAGTTCTGCTAGTATTCATCTAGTGCGTCCCAACACGATGTCGAGAAACGGAACTGCTCAAAGATATTCCCGCTTATGCTTGAAGACCTTATGAATAAACATATACATAGTGCTTACGATAAATAGTAGCGAACAAGATGATGGGTGGGATGGAATACATTTGCATTGTGTCTCTGTGAGATATCACCAAAAACCAGTTGTGTCCGCATCTTAAATAAATCTGAACCTTTCGACTACTGAGTAGGGCCCTCGAACTATGACAGGAGTTTCAAATGGACTTTTTTGTGCGAATTTGAAGGATTCAGTATCCTCCTCATTTCTGCCTAAGGCCCAGACTTCAGTTGGTTTCCAAGGACTTTTTCGAAACCTTTTAGTGGTCTTTCTTTGGTAACTTCGGTAATTTAGAACTACAAGTCTGTCTTGAACTTTTATGGCGCCTCCTAAATGCCTAAGCCATTTAGCAAGGAGTCCTCCTCTCTCTAGGAAGCCTGTTTGTATGTAGTACTGCTCTGTTTACGAATACTTCCAAAAATGCACATCCATTTTGTTTATCCGAGTCACAATCGCGAGCTTGCAAATCAGGCAGATGTCGTAAATTGGAACCGACAAAAACAGGGGAGAACGAAATGGCCATTTCTGGGTTATTAACCACCATCAGCCGGTCATATCCAATCCCAGAGGTGGCCACTTCCGAGATTCGAACCCGCGACCTTTGGTCATTGAGTGCAGATCTCTATCTTTGCATCACGGGCCCGATGTTTTTGTCGGTTGTGATCGGAAAGATTATGATAGTAGGGCGCTCACTGATCTGGTTACGGAATATGATCGTTCTGCTGTGCCTTGGAGCTCCATCTAAAGGCTCCGTACCATTGCATCACGGCTTTATTGTTTTTTTTTCAGTTGCGATCGGGAATATGATGAGTGTTGCACTCAATGACCAAAGGTCACGGGTTCGAATCTCGGGCTTTGCTACCCCTGGGATTGGGTATGACAAGCTGCTGACGGCTAACGAGCCAGAAGTAGCCATTCTGGCCTTCCTTGTCTTTGTCGGTTCTACTGCATCATATACTACAAGTCGCGAAAGTTCTAGATTGAGCACGTCCTGTAACCAGATCGGTCAGGCAGACATCGTTGTGTATGCCCGCAGATAACAGAAGTTTTCAGCACGAAGGTTATTACCGCACTGTGTCTTGCTACTGCTTTCAAGCATGAACGGAGTGGACCCCTTCCTAGTCAAGTCAACTGTCGACCTCATTTAAGATCACATTCTTTTCAGGCGTTTACAGCACACTATCTCACTTTCGGCTGTTTCGCGTACCAGCCAATCCTGATACTGAACTTATATACTGTCGAATAATTAATAGCATCGTAATTTCGGTGTTCAATGCCTCTTCTATACGACTTTCTCATATGTTCTTTCCTCAGGTTGACCTTGAAATAATATATCAGCGGACTGGCGGCATCTCGGGTGTGAAGATAACGGCGGTTATTCAGTCTGTTTTAGACACTTTTTATCAGAAGTTTAGCGTCCGGTTTACTCAGGTATGTTACTCATTTGTTTTTATTGTTTATTGTTACATGCTTGCATTTCACAACTTACACAGAAATTAAGGCTTTTTTCTCAAAGACTGCTGTTATTTCGCTTCCGCAAGCTACTGCTTCTAGTGACATCTATATATTTTCTTATGCCGTACTATCATAATCAGCGATCTCGAAGGGAGAAGATTTTGAATCCTTCGAACACTTGATCGGTCATCCTGATTCAAGTGCGGAATGATCTTCAAGCATTAGCGGCCTTAACGGTTATTTCTACTTCATTTTTTGTCCTTATGAGCATTTTCCTAACCTTACTTGTCCCTTGAGAAATGTATTAAGCTGAACCAGAAACTAACCGTAATATTACGTTCTTACCTAAATCACATAAGTAGGCATGCTATGATAATTAAACTGAGAGCGGCGCCAGCAAGTCTTGCGAGTTAATGTAGCCAATGCTTTCTCGGCTTTTTTAAATTAAAATTTAGATGTCAAGGGATGATGTCAAGGCTCTTAGTGAGTATTTTGTTAAAACTTGAATTCGAGTCATGGATCTGACAGTGGAAGAGTTATACTTTCGTTGGCCCCTAGATGTTCGGTTTACAAACGGACAACAGAATTGATTGGCTTGAGCGCGCACCGAAAACTCCATGTTCTGTTGGCATGCAAACATAAGTGAAGCTCAGCCATTGACTTCAGCTCAAAGTCATGCCTGATTAATTTAATCTTCAAGAACTTTGCTCGCCCAAAATCCCTAAGATGGACTGCACTTTTGGTTTTCTCTCTATACTTTCTTTTAACCAAATCCTTAACATTCCCCAACAGAAAAACTTTATGCAGTGCGTCAAACTGGAAGGCTTGATTAAAACTAACCTCTATCTTCATTAGGGACAAAAACCGAAAATAATAAGAGGGTTTGATGGAAGTTGCATCTTGCGTTTTTCTACAGGTTTCTGGAAACACCTCAGAAGCAGCCCTTGGTATACCGCGGAGCGGGAACCCAGGTTATAATATTGGAGCCCCTGTGCTCGCAGGTAGCACAAACTACACAAAAATGGGCTTCCAAGAACTGGATTTACCAGCCGTCGAGACTATCGTCCCCACTCCGGATGGAGTAAGTCTGGCGTCAAAATATGGCGTGTGGTCTATTCCTGTTGGCGGAGTCTGTGATATCCTCACCAGTGGTGGTCCCAGCGCAACGAGATTTCAACCAATTAGATTCGGTCTCGATGTTTACACTGGGTGCCGATTCAAGTGAGTAGGTCACCGAGACAACGCAATCAGTACTCCGTTTGTATTTATGATTCGTTGATCTCAATATTTATTGAAAATTTGATATTGCAAGGAAACGAACTGCGGCGAATGTGTCCTTCGTAGTGGATGCTTTTAAAATAAACGTAAATACATACTATATGCATTTTGATAGGCGTAGTTATACTTATTTATTTCGCGGAAGTCTTTGGCGTCCTACGGCTACCTTTTGTCTTATTCGTTTTAGCTTGGTTGAGGTTTAGTTTAGTCTTAAGTTTAATGTTTTAGTTGATTAGTTTAATTTTAGTTTAGTTTGTTTTGTTTAGCTTAGCTTTGTTTGGTTAGTTAAGTATACTTTACTTTTAGTTTGCTTTAGGTTTTAGTTTATTATTTTATCCTATTAGTTTTAGTTTAGTTTTATTTTATTTTTTGGGCGACATGCGATTACTCTTCGACTTTTCTGCTTTTCGCACTTTTCGCTAAACCGCCAAGTAGAATTTGCAGATGGCATGTTTCATGCTCCCACTGGGAGGTAGGTATCTATGATGCATTAACTCGTTAGCCTTTAATTTACGGCCGATGGCGCCGTAGGGTAGTTCTCGATTGAAGAAAGGATTGCGTCTTGTGGTCAATTAGTGTCCAGTGCGTTTTCTCGTAGTATTATGTGCTAAACGATCCCCTGAGGTTTCATTGCGGGGTGATTCACATATGCCGAGTCTGCTTATATTTAAACTCTAGGGTTTTCACGGGAACGTGGTAAAATGCGGAATTGAAGAGTTATTTTTCAATGTAGATTCGATTATTATCGACCCAAAACTGAAAAATCTAAAATTATTATTCAAACTTTTCCGAAATGAACAAGCAATTCGTTGGATTTAGTTCAAGCAGTCAGTCTAGTTCGAAAAATAAATCACCTTGACAGAAATACGTAGGATGGTGAAAAATGCCTAAACATGTGGGGAAAAGCACAGTTATATGCCATTAAGAAAATCTTATACGTTCGACTCGTTGATCAGGTTAGTGTGAAAACAATGAATAATCGGTTTCAACCATTTTGACTTCTCTTCATATGGTAGAAAACAGAGGTATGTCTATCATTCAAATAATTTACGCGTCTAAATAGAAAGCAAAGGCAGCCTACTATAGCAAGAAAGAGAGAAGAGCTATGGAGGTTTATCAGAAGTGAAATCAGGAAGTTCGTTAAAGCAAGCTGTTATAGCATACCCTCTGGGATTCCAAAATGATATCGTTGAATCTTCTATAGAGTCAGCCAGGCCTTCTTCGATGATTTTCTCGGCGGAGGCGTATCTCGTTCGGAACAGTGCTCCTTACTACAGCAATACGTGATCACCTTCCTGACTACAGCAGTTGGCTCCTCGGGTAAATCTCCGCTGCCAGATCGGGTTGCAATCTGGCCAGCCTCACAAACCAATGTCTCCTCCGGTTGGGTACATGTTTTGGGAGTCGATGCAATTCGGAATCCGGCGCCTGCAACGGCCACTAGCTTGTAAGCCACAAGCTGGCATTTGCCTCCCCGTATATTCAATGAATGCTTTTAAAATAAACTTTAATATCTACTATGTGCATTTTAGTAGGCGTAGTTATGCCTATTTATTTCACGGAACTCTTTAGCGTCCTCTATATTTAACTAATATAAACTATACGAAGATTGTGGAAGCAACTAAATTTGGTGAGGATGGGTTAAACATACATGACCTGGTTTGGTTTATTTCTTCATAGTTATGGAAGTCATATCTAATTTCGGTCTGCACCTGTAGACCCTTCAATATACTGGCCTGCTGTGAGTTACAAATTAATTCCTGAAGAAACTAAAAGGCCCAAATTTCAGAACTGGAGTATCTACTAGAAAGCACACAGGGAATGCTGGGGTGACCACTGATGAGTCGCACCCCTTGCAACTGTATCAAACAGCGGCAGATTGCCGGCGAAACATGTGTCTGGGATTTTAGCTAGTACCTGTGCTGCCAATATGGGGAATAACTACATATACGTACGTACCTGCAGACCCTTGAATAAACTGATGTACTCTGGAAACATTAAAAAGCTGAAATTGCCCTCTGTGTATTAACTACTATCCATGTTCGACCATCCATTTCGATGAAGTCCACCATATGCATCAATAGGTTGGCGCAAAAGGTGATGGGCCTCAGAGGGTAGATTATAGTGATAGGGGACGTAGTTGGTGCCAACTGCACTCTTCACCATCGCCCGGAGTCAAGAAGACCAAACGGAACCTGGTGTTAGCTACTTTCTCCAATGCAAGCCAGAAGCACCGCCTAGCTTAGGCTTAAGTGACAGTAGACTTCCCGCGGGTACTGCCGCACGACCTTCCCTCACTCACCCTCAGTAGGTGTCAAGACAGGCTCAAGGAGGCCATGACTTTTGCAAACTTCAACAATTACTACTATTTCTACTCATACTGACTAGCAATGTAGTTGAGTGTTAGTAGTACTGGTACTATTTCTGACGCTAATGTTAGTCAGAGGTGACGCTGAGTAAAAAATAAGCACTGGAGCTCATACTCCTTGATCTTACGAAAGATGGTGAACTCTGGATTTATGCTATTCCGAGTAAGTGCCTGTTTGAAGTCCTGAGCACATCGGGGCTTGCCTTGGTTTCCCCCCTCTCAACTTTATCCACTGCTATTTCCACATAACAACATACACAAAATTGTTTTATTATGGTTTTGCTGTTAAAATTTCTTTTATTTCTTGAGAGTTGCCTTCGTTTATTTTTTTAATAGCACTCTCAATTTCGTTGCTATATATACAGGCTTACAAGAATACATTTGGTGGAACTTTCCTTGGTTTTAGGTTTTTTTGCATAAAGTTCGCCGCTTTCCCGTGGTGAGGCCCCACCTTTAAACCCCCCATTCCCGTTTTACACGATCCTGGGGTTAGTATTGGCTGTGGGGTCATAATAACCTCTCTTTATCCTAAATTTAATGATATCCTCCATTTCCATGGCCCTCCATTCAACTGCAAATGGTATTTGTCCACTTGAACAAATGTTGACAGTCAAGTGTGATGAGCTCACCACATGGCTACCATTTGCTAAACTGAAAAACTTCGACGCGTGTTGTTGATGGAGAAGGTGGGATCCTTAAGTGCAGACTGGTTACCAGGCTAGTGGCAGCGTTGTCGATTTAACTGTGCCCCTGCGTCCGTATTTTTATCCTTTTAAATGATTCTCCGCTAAGCTGATGGACGTCTACCGTGAGAAGCGGTTGAGTATCAGCAGCGAATACCGAATCGATGGAAAATTGTTCCATGCCTTTAGCATGTATTTATTTTCTCGAGTTTCCAAGGCCAGCGTCCATGACTTATTGTAGAAGTCGGGAACCTTTTTGACTCACAGACCCAAGAAAGCAAATATTTGGAAATGTATTTCAGTGAGTGCCATATAATATATTTTAAGATTGAATTCAATTAAATGTGAGTATAAGAAGCCTCTGGAGTTATTCTTTTTAATAACCAAAATCACAAAATCGGAAGTTTATCATTCAATTTTTATCTGAGGGAGCCAGATGCCATCATCAAAAGAGCCACACCTGGCTCGCGAACCATACGTTCTCGACCCCTGAGCTCTTGTAAGCAGGTAACTGTGCGCTGAACTCTACAACGGATGAGACTTTTTCGCCTCCAGCTGCTCCTGTCAGTGCGGGAAAGGCAAAGGTCATGCATCAGATGACGCCAGATGCTGACTTCCTGGAACTTCCTATTAGTATGAATAGAATTCGCCCACCCCTTGAAAGTAATTTGCATAACTTGGGCGTAGTAACATTCCAAAGGCATCAACATTGGCGACGATTATTCCAAATCCTATCTTCAGGGCCTTCGGCTAGCTGCAGAACTCCATCTGGAACGACTGCGGCATCCTCTTTAAGACAACACTGTGAGGCTGTTTTTCTGATTACGCCCTTGCACGGGGTGGAGGCGTGGTCTCTGTGTGTGTAAGCCAGCCAAGAAACCTAATGCTGATTGGTTCATCCCTATCCTGGAGGCCTCGTGTGACCTCGGCTCCTTTAAGGCGCACACCTGCGTGTGCGGTCTTTGTGTGTGGGTGGAACGATTACGTGACCTGAGAGCTCGCCAGGGCTGCATGCATCGTTAGGTCGACTACTAACACTCTCATCTCAACTCCCTCTAGAGAATAAGGAAATTGAAGTGACAAAAAAGTATTTCCGATTTGAAATCCTGGAATGAATCCGTGTTCTCAGTACCAGCGCCATGTTTGTGCAGATACAACTGGAGTGGAGCAGTGACATCGTGAAGATGAATGACGAGCGCCTGCTCAAGTCATTGTTACACAGTGACGTTTCTACGACTGCTCGCTGGGAAGGCGGACTAACACGCCGCTTCACTGACACTATTAAGGCCTCCGTTAAGCACCTGCAAATAACCCTGACATCTGGGAGAACTCTGCTCAAGATTGGCAGGCGTGGCGCATTGCTATAAAGGCCATATGAGCCAGCCTCAAAGTAAACTAAATAGCTATTTTCAAGGCGAAGAGGGAAGACTCGATTGTTGTGGATCGGTGACGAAACTACCCAGCCCCTGCCCTCATTTCACACTGTCTTCAGACATTTCGGGCGCGGATTGGTCTCGAGGGTCATCTGCGGATTCTGCGCAAT